TGGTCTTTAAGTAGACCGAGGATTCTGTATCCTAAGGGAACGCTCTTTTCTCCTATAAGCAAGGCCGTAAAGGTATGCTGGCGTGTAAGCGCAATATTGATGTTTTGTTTTTACAGTGGAGTTTTTGGTGGCCTGGTGGTTTTTCTTCTGTTGCTGATTTTTTATTTTTTAACAATAACCTTTTTATTTTTATTTTATTATTTTTTACATAATCCTTTCTCTAAAAGAAATAATTTATTTTAATTATATACATTTAGTTTCAGCATCTTCATCTAGCAATTGTTTGTTTATTTATAACTATAAATATATTGTTGGGTGTAATTCAAAGAAACAACACGAAGCAATATGAACTCAGACACAAGTATCGCAAATAAACGACTTTACTTTAAAAGCTTTTCAAAACCCAACAAAAATTTTTTGAAGATTCTCAAAATATATAAATTCTTGTTTTATTAATTTTTTGTGACCATAATTCAATTATTTTTATAAATTTATATTTAAAAATCTTCATTCCATGAAAAAAGATATTTTGCAATGTAAAAACTCGCTTTCTATATTTTGGGCACGATTTATTCTTACACCTTATATATTCGTACAAAGTGCCATTTTCCATACAAACATCTTCTTTGCATAATTTACATATAGTTTTATCTATTAATCTAATATAATTAAAATTTTCTGCTTAGTATTTTTTATTTAACATTTTAAAGTACATTTTTAAGATTATTTTTTTACAAAATTTCACACTTTCATTTTTGGTCGGCAAGGTATCTTACTCCATTTGATTGGTATACGGAGAGCAAATTTTAAACTGCTTTAAAGAAGGCATATTTATTTCTTTAAAAATTTTTTTCCTCTTCTTAACAAATCTCTATACATAATCATTAATAATTTGAAATTTTTCGAAAATCGTTTTTAAGATCTTTTTTTTAACACTTTAAATTTCATTTTTAAGGGTAAAAAATAAATATTTATAACCTTTTTTAGTGTATCTGAGTGTTGTAAACCCCATTTATTAATCATTTTTTTAGGGAAGAGTGAAAAAGCAGCCGGAAGTAAAGCAATCCTATTTAACATTTAGCTTTTTCATCAAGACAATATTAACTTACAAACTAAAGAGTATTCTCAAGTATATACACACTTTTTTCAAATATAAGAAAGAAAATTTCGTAAGTATATATAAAAGTTTAATGAATTAAAAATGTCTTAAAAAAAGAACAAAAGTTTTGATTTGGGGGTAAATTTTTAACAAATTATAAAAGAATTTTAATTTAATCATGGCAAAAGATCTTTCTATAGTTAAAAAATTGTGATTATAGTATGTTTAAAAATAAATAAAGTTATCAAAAAATGTTTAATATCACGAGATGCATTTCTTAATCATTACATGATTAAAGAGAAAACCAAAAAAAAAGAATTTGTAAGAAGAATATTGGATCAAGCAATCTTATATTCTTGAGGTTGTTGATTTAATTTTTGAAAAAACAAAATTTTATAAACCCCAAAATTGATGAGCAAAATGCACGAAAGATATAAAACTAGAGCATGAGAAATTATTAATTGATTTTATCATTCCTTTTTTAAACGGCGTCATCATGCGATTCTGCATTCAATTGACATTTTTAAGAGAATAGTAGATGTAAATCTTTACGCTGCTATGAATATTGCAGATGTATTCTTGAATATTGTTTACCGTCTTCATAAATCATTTTTGGCATACCTGACTATAATTTTCAACAGGATTAAAATCTAGACTTAATTGTGGCAAATACATGCAATAAATGTTACTATTTTTAAACCACGTCTGAGTTGGATAAGTTCGATGGCAAGATGCATCATCCTGTTGAAAAATGTAATTTTAATTGCAACTTAAGTCATTAAAATTATTGTTTTTATTTTTAATAAATGTTAATAAAGGAATTTAAGTATTCTATAATAAGCAACCTGTTCATTTTATTACTAACAATTTGTAAAATCAATTGTTTATTGAAACAAAAACTGGGCTAAACCATAATGTCTACTCCGCCCTGTATAAGTTTACTATATAAAATTTCATCTTTGTTTAAATGCACCAATAATACTCAAAACCATCTAAATTAATTTTTTTATATACAAATATAACTTTGTGCCACTGACTGACTCATAAAACTTTATCTAAAGCAAAATCAACCCTTTTTAACTTATGCATTTTTTTAACTGGGACACTTTCTCATTTTTTTATACAAAGTTACTATCTTATTTAATCGCTCTTTAAAATGTAGATTTTAATACTAATGATTACAAATATGCTTTAATTTTAAAATACAGATGACTTCATTAGAACCTATACTTCGGATTGGTTAAAATGTTCTTTACTTCCTTTTTTATTAGTAACTTTAATTATACTCTGTGAAGTCAAATAATTTCTAGCTGTGGTCCTACTTCGAACCAACATTATACTAATTTGCTTAATATTTCTACCTGTTGAAAAATAGAATTAATTTTTTTTTTATAAAAATTTTAAGAAGTTCCTTTACTCATTTAGGAAAATAATAATTTTTTTTAAAAAACCTTAAAACTATCATGCCCCTGAGAAATATTGGAGAAGTTTTAAATTGTTTTTCTAAATCAAAAAATATATAATAACGAATATTAATGATTTAAGCATGTGTTTGTATATCAAAATTTGTGTTGTATGGGCTATACCTTATAATTATAGAATTAATTCTTTGTTTTAAACGTTTTGTAGTAGATTAGATTAAAAAGATAAGTTACTTGATGCTTTTTAATGCAACAAAATAGATGTATTATTTACAATCCTATAAAACGTGCTTTTAAGGTGGATGTCTTAAGATTTTGACGCGCCTCTTAAGACAAAAAATACAAAAAACAGATTAGAACTATGAAGAACAAGATTTGATACAAATTATTTTGACACAAATTTTAACCACATAATTTGAATATAAATAAGTCCTGCACCGAAGGGTAGCTACCATTCTTATAATAGTTTTCAATAAAATTGTTTTTTTTGAATATCGATTTAACTCGGTTTGGTTTTTACTACTCTGCTTGTTCATTTCGCGCATGCTTGCAAAACTATCTTTCTGTAGTTTAATTATTTAAAACATTTTTTCATTTAAAAACTTCAATTTTATTTTAGAAATCCTAAAAAAAATTATTTGTCATGTTTGTGGCATAACAAAATAATTATTCTAAAATATTTTCTTTTTTTATTTTGCACAGATAAAAAAATTTTTAGGTTTTTTAAGATTTTGATGCGCACTGTAGAAAGTTTATAGTTTATGATAGCACGTGAATTTTTTTAAGCTTAAACGCTGGGATTACGCAAGAGCAACATTCTGAATGTTTAATTGTGGTATTTTACACAATTTAAACTTATGTTTTGTATTTATTGTTTATATGTTTAGTTGTTAATGTTTACTTTGTAATCTATATTCGTTTTAATAATTAATCGATGTTAGTAAACAAACATTAAAAAATATAAATACAAAAATTACTTCTACCTACAGACACGAAAAATAAAACTATAAATGAAAATAAAAATCAATTACAATAGAAGAGGTATGAGAAATAACAATAACAATTAAATCAATATAAAGTTTATTGTTAAAAAGTATTTTAGGAAACTTTTATCAACATGACCATATCACCAAAACAATTTTATGGGATCATAGTGTTGAAAGGCAAAAAAGATTCAACACCCTTGTATTTTTATTCTTTTTTCAAAATGGTTTAAAACCGACTCCCATTAGATAAGTTGTAATAAAAATAATGCTAAAACTTTCGTTATAACTAGATAGTGTGATCTAGTATGTAAACCTTAAACTCACAAAAAAACTTTATTTACAAATTAAATTCTGATAATCATCGTAAATAACTGTATCCAAAAGAATTTCAAAATTAACACTTGAATCCTTATCAAGACTTCTATAATATTCTAAAGGTACACCAAATCTATTCTTAACGTACTCTTCAAATTCTTCTTCCTTTTTGTATAACATCTGGAAAATCACTTCTAAGTATCGAAGATTCGCTTTCTTCGAGTCATCCAAATTTATATTTCTTTCAATTAATAAATTACGGAGCAAAAAGACTGAAAAATTCCATTGGCTAATCGAAAGTTTATACTCTATGTTTTTTTCGTCATTCTGAAAAATTTTGTCAAGATGAGATTTCCATGCTTCAACATCAGATTTTACTTCGTTAATAGTACATTCTATATTTTCTGTTTCAGGCAAACGACATCTTATTTTTGCAAACGGAATATTACTTATAAAAACATTAATAAAAGTATCAATTGAGAAATCTGAAGGTACAAAACAGCTATTCGGCGAAATAATTTCAAAAAAAGCGTACAAATCATCCTTTGTTACATAATCAAAAAGGCTTTCCTCCCCGTTCCTTCTTCGTACTATTTCATAATTTAAAAAATCCATAAAATTAATAAGATACCACCTATATTTATAAATCCAATCACCCAGAAAATTATTAAGAGACATGTCTTTTAAATAACCAGAAACGCTACTATTAAAAATTATAGTTTCTTTAAAGTTTGGTCCAGTTTCATACATTTCTGAGAGTAAAACACTATCTTTTGCATTAATGCGTGAAATTTTTTTTTGCGAATTGTAAAAACAATTAGATCCCGATTTGGAGATAGATTTTTCTTTTTTCCTCTTTTTGCTTACATACTTTATTCTTTTTTCACAATCGCTTCTACTGTATGTTATCAAAAATGGTTTACTTTGTAGATTTGATTCTTGAGCAAATGATACATCCGTCTTTGAATTATCCTTAGAATTACTAAAAGGGATGATAAAAAACAAAAGATTTGCCAAACAAAGTGCTAAGAATATACATAGCACAACTTTACAACAATTACCATATTTTTCCCATAAATTCTTTGTCACTGTATGCACTTTTTTATTTTTCTCTGTTTTATCTTGAGGCAACAAATTATCACCATTAGTATCATCCTTTTTATGTCTACAAGACAAAGAAGTCTCCGATGTTTCTACACTTGATGCCAAAATAAAATCACTGCACTTGAA